CAATTAATGAATCGTGTTTATTCATTAGCATATCATCTACAACAACAGCATGAAATAAACTCCAATCAGCCTATTGCTATTGTCATGAAAAAAGGTTGGGAACAGATTGTGGCTTGTTTAGCTATCTTAGTTTCAGGTGGTGCTTATTTACCTTTGGATGTTGATTCACCCTATGATCGTCTTTGTTCATTAATCGAAGAAACTAATATTCATATTGTTCTCACACAATCTCATTGTCAACATAGATTTTCACATCTCACAACTATTTCAGTTGATACATTCACAACTAATGATAATTATCCAACACCATTTCCTATCAAACAACAATTGTCAACTGATTTAGCATATGTTATTTATACATCTGGATCAACTGGAAAACCCAAAGGTGTTATGATTAGTCATCAAGCTATTCTAAATACTATTTTAGATATGAATTCAAGATTAGAAATCTCAACTAATGATAGAATATTTGCATTATCACATTTAAATTTTGATTTATCTGTTTATGATATATTTGGAATATTGATTGGTGGTGGAACTATAGTAATTCCAAATCATGAAGATTATAAAAATCCTCAACATTGGTATGATATGATAATTAAACATCATGTCACTATATGGAATAGTGTTCCAATGTTAATGCAAATGTTTATTGAACATCTCAAACATACAAATAATCGTAATAATCAATTACGACATATCTTATTAAGTGGTGATTGGATACCATTACCTTTACCTGAATCAATACAAGTAACATTCGGTGAACAAGTAACAATAACTAGCTTAGGTGGTGCAACAGAAGCATCTATTTGGTCGATTGCCTATACTCTACCAAAAGTAATACCACGAGAATGGAAATCAATTCCTTATGGAATACCATTAAGAAATCAACAATATTATGTTTACGGTATACATCTTGATGATTGTCCTGAATGGGTCCTTGGTGAATTATATATTGGTGGTGAAGGTTTAGCTAATGGCTATTGGAATGATCAAGAAAAAACACAATCAAGTTTTATTATTCATCCATTAACTAATGAACGTCTTTATCGAACAGGTGATTATGGTCGATTTCTACCGAATGGATATATTGAATTTATGGGACGAAAAGATTTGCAAGTAAAAGTACTTGGTCATCGTATTGAACTTGGTGAAATTGAACATCATTTACAACAACATCCAGATATCCATCAAGCTATTGTTAATATGGATGACAAATCCCAGCAGTTAATTGGATATGTTATGCAAGAAAAACATTCTATTCATAATGAAGAATATGATTCAACAGAAGTGTTAATTGCTGATCCTATTGAACGTATGAATTTTAAGCTTGCAAGACATAGTATAAGACATCAAAAGAAGATAGAACAGAGCTTTGCTCTAACAAAACCCAAGCTTACAGAAACATTAATCAGTACATATTATATGAGAAAAAGCTATCGACAATTTACAAATGAAATTATTGAAAGATCTACTATCGAACAATTGTTAAAAAACTGTCACAATAGCAATAATAACGAGAAAATATCTTTGTCTCACCTCAATTTTGATATTCTTAGTCAATTATTAGCAGTATTAACACCGATCAATATTTTTGATCAGCCCTTACCGAAATATCATTATGCATCAATTGATGATCTTTATCCAGTACAGGTATACGTTGAATTACCAACATCTTTAGACAATATTTTGCCAGGTGTTTACTACCATAATCCAGATAAGCATATTCTAGAACTAATTAGTACTCATATCAATAATGATATGATAAATATAACATTACATCTTGTTGGACGATCATCAGCAATTGCACCGTTATATGGAAAAACATTAGGTTCTCAATTTTGTATGCTAGAAACAGGATATGTTATGGAATTATTGGAAAAAGAAGGGTCACGATTGGGATTGACATTTTCGAAAAATGCTCATAACGAATCTATAATTCGAGGTATTTTGAATATAGATGAAGATGATACACATTATTGTTTCAAAATTTCATCATTTGAGGAAAATATTTCTAATAATGTCCAAAATAACAATTATCAATGTATTATTTATCTAAAACCGGTCAATAGTAACAAAGCCCAATGGTTTATTTATAACAAAGAAAATGATACTGTTACATCTTTTAATATCGAAACTAATACTACACAAGAGGAAACACTACTGTTCTTTGATGACGACGATGATACGAAGATTATATTTCATGATTGTCAATGTGCAATCTTCTTCATCGGACGATCAGAATGCACAGTGAATATAGGAAAGATGTCACATTTATTATTGGATCATTGTCTAGAAATGAATATTGGTATGTGTCCAATTGGTACTCGTACGAGTTTTCCAAAAAAAATTAATGATGTATTAGATACTATTCTTATTCATGAAAAATTAAATGGAAGTAACATATTACATACATTACTTATTGGAAAGATTAGTAATAGACAAAAATATGAACGCACTATTTCAAAAGTAAAATCAATGCCAAGTTGGAGTGAAACATTACGAATATACCTAAGAAAAAATCTTCCAATGTATATGATACCATCACATTTCATAAATGTTTCATCATTTCCGCTAAGTCCAAATGGTAAAATTGATCGAAAAGCTCTACCAAAAATATCACTACCAGTGCTTCAACAAGAAGATACCTATACTACACCAAATACTGAATTCGAAAAGATGATTGCGAATATTTGGCAAGAAATATTATACACAGATCGACTTATTATACAACTTGATGATCCAACTAAAATCGTCTCTGGTATTGACAGACAAACATCTTTTCTTATATCTACTACAGCTAGTTTCTTCAGTGTCGGTGGCAATTCTCTTTTACTTGTTAAGATCTATCAACGTTATCAATCAAAATTTAATTTCGAATCAGAAGCACTGAGTATTCGATCATTTTTTGACTATAACACCATAGTAGAACATGCTAAACTACTTGAACCAATCATCATCGATGGTGCACAACTAAAACAATGGCATACATTGCATATTAATGAAGGTCAGATAGTTTTAATTTACTTTTTTAATAGCTAAAAATATTATTTTCACAAATTTGTAGGTATCGCGTCGTATGCTCAAGAACGCATATTTCTTGATGAACAACTTCGTTTTTCTCATCAAATTGCCATTTACAATGAGCTGATGGTTCTAAGAGTTACAAAAGAATTATTATCAGTGAATCGTTTATTACAAGCTCTTCGCTATATCCTAAGTAAACATAAGATATTAAGAACTTCTCTAGTTTTCAATGCTGAGGATAGTATTTTAAAACAATCTATTACTGATAAACATCTAACATTTACATTGACTGCCGAGCAAACATTCAAAAGTGAAACTGAACTTCACAACATTATCTCACAAATAAATACTAATCCTAATCTGTTTGATTTATCCAGTGGTCGTGTTTTTTATTGTCAAATTCTCAGCCAACAGATGACATCTGATGAAAATCATAATAAAGACATGATTACAAAACCTGATGTTCTTGTGATCGGCTTTCATCATGCTGCAATAGATCAATTAACTTTTTCAATTTTTTTAAATGATCTATGTAATACTTACAATAGTAACATCGCGTGGTTAGATAATGATGAATCATTACAATATATTGATTATAGTATTCATGAACGTCTAATCGATATGACACCGTCACGCGAGTTTTGGCGTTCTCAACTAAATGGATTCAATCAAGAATGTCGATTGTTACTACCAGTTGATAGACATTGCTTACAGAGCGATCAAAGATCTGGATATGCTTCCATTGCTCATATCTCATTTAATAATGAAGTTTCGATGTCATTTCTCGATTATGCATCGTCACATCAAGTCACACCATTTCAGCTAGGCCTAGCTGTATTCTATACATTTCTTTTCAAGCTAACTTATAGACAAAATGATTTATGTATTTCTTGTCATAATGCAAACCGATACAGACCTGAATTACAGACTATGATTGGGATGTTTGTTTCAACATTACCATATCGCATCCAAGTTGATTCTGACTGGTCATCCGATGAACTTGTTGGACATGTTCGAGAAAAATGTTTATCGATTCTTGAACATTCTCATTATCCACTTCAGCGTATTCTTCATGATTTTCATCTTAATCAATCAACTGTTCCTTTTCTTCAAACAGTTTTTGATTTCATTACTGAATCTTCAGTTAACGATCAGTTGACTTTCGATGATGTTAGTTTACAGCGAATATCTTTAAAACAGGTTTCTGAAGTGGCTAAATTTGATTTTACGTTAAAATTCATTTACAATCCAATCTCGGATGACAACATGTTGTCATGTCGTTTTATTTGTTCACGTGATCTATTTGAAGATACGACACTTACAAAAATGATACAAAGATTTCAATATCTTCTTGAACAACTTTTTTCAATGGATTCCAACGTCAATCAGATTGATTTAGTAGTTTCACCTATTGCCAAACTTACTCTTATCTTACCAGATGAAATGAATGAAATGCAAAACGTAGCTTTTTACCGTCAATCAAATGTGACGAATGAAGGTATGTCTTTTTTCTATCTATCCTATATATAATTATTTTTATTGAAAGTGTTGATTGACTTGTGTTAGTTCAAAAATCATAACATTAGTCTGTTTTTCAATATAGAATAGAAATATACAGTATGAAAAGATCTTACTAATTTTCAATGTGAAAAACTTTCAAAAGTTTTGTTCAAATAGAATACTGTATAGTATAGATATATGAAGTTTGGTAGTAATGATAAGCATAAGAATTGTGATTAGGAAGGTGATAAGTTTCTGGTATGATTATTTTCGACTAGAATGTTAAGAATAAGATGTCAACTGAGCGAAACATAGTTTAGTTCAGAAGGTTTTAGATAGTTTTTTTGAAATATTTATTTGACATCATAAAAATCAAATTTAATTCAGAAGATAATGACTTATATCAATGTCGATGACAATTTCGTTATCTTGTAATAATCTAACTATAGCATTATCAACTGTGTTTCTGTAAACACCAATTAAAATAACAAAATATTTTAGTGACGCCAGCTTATCTTTTTTAATTAAGATTAGGCACTATTTAAGTGCAAATCGCTTCTTTACGCCATAGTTGGACACCGTTTAGACGAATCTATATTTATAATTTTAAATAAAGCTAACTATTTTTTAGAAAAAAACTATTTTAAATATATGATGATAAATATAAGAATATAATCATCAGAAAACTATTCGACGTTTCTATAACTTACCTGTCATACATGAGAAAGTAAAAATCAGCATCTGTAACACAACATTAACATTTAATTGATTGTCTTTCTTTTACATTATTCAATAATACGGAAATGAATTAAAAGTAAATTTTACTTACAATTATTATCAGTCTTAAAAATAATTTTGTGTTTATACTTTGGAGAATTAGCTACCTTAAACTACGGTACATTTTTCAGATGATTTTTATTAGAAAAGGTGTACATATGAAGAAAGTATAGGTCACGCAATTAATTATGACGAGCTATTAAGACATTATAAAATATGTAGTAAATGTTTCATTCTAGAATACAACAGGGATATATTGCATAAAAATTTGTGAAAATCTCAAGTTTAAAAAACAAATCTTTTCTTTCCTTCTTTGACTATCTAACACAAAAAATCAAATTTATCATCTTATGATGCTTGAAAAACTCTAGCTTTCAGTCGTATTTACAATTCTTCTACAGTCGAACATAAATACGTTTCTAGTTAGTATTTTTACCATAGAGCATCATTAAAACATGCAAAGTGAAAAACGTAGGATGAAATTTCTCATCTAGCCTTTTACTGACCTAATTTGTAAACAAAACGTTTATTATATACGCTGTAGAAAATTTTATGGTTTACCTTTTAAATAAAATCTGTATTACTGTTGAATATAAAAAATTTACATTAGAAATGGATGGAATTAAGAGTTACAACTTATCATAGATTCATATGTAAAGTTTTCATGCTTTTGACTATTAGACATTATGAATACTTAAAACGGTAATACCGATTGAATCATTTAATTAAATAAAGCAAGCAACTTAATAGAGAGCTAGATTAATTCTAAAGATACGTTTCTCGATAGGAGAACCTAGTTCGATTTGAACACGTTTCTTTCTTATAGCACCAGCATCATTTGCACAAGCTCGTATATGGCTTGATGAACGGATTCGATTTGATCCAGACAAGCCACAAGTGGCAATATACAACATGCCTTTTGTTTATCGTCTTCATTCAGATCATACATTATCGATCAAACAACTTCGTCATGCTCTTCATCTGACCGTTGACAAACATCCCTCACTTCATACATCACTTCATTTTGACATCCAAAAGAATCTACTTATGCAACGAATTATTACTGATGAAGATAAAAATAATAAGAATAATATGTTTTCAATCATCAAAACTGCTTATGAAACAGATGAGCAATTAAATGAGATTTTACACGACGAGAAACGTAATCCCCAACTTTTTGATCTTGCTCAGGGTCTTGTCTTTCGATGTCATATTATTTATTACAAACAAATCTCTCCAAATCATCTTCTTTCTCACAAAGATCTACTGATTTTCAACTTCCATCATGCTCTATTTGATTTTCCATCAATGAATATCTTTCTTCATGA